TGACCTGAACTGGAACTTTTTCTCCACCTGAATTTAAAAATACATCACGCCCCCACCCCCCTAATACATCTGAGAAATTTTCTTTTTTCTAATGAGGTTTTAACTAAAGCCCAATATCAAAACACCATATAATACTTTTATCTCATTGAAGACATTTGATGCTTATTAAAATATTATTGCTTTAAGGCTTATTTTGATTTTTTGCCCAAGAGTGTGCAGAGCCTCGCTACTCAGATAATAACAAAGAAACCTTAAACATGAAAAAAACACATGAAAGGTAATATGTTCCCCATTAGTCCCAGTATCATTTCCCCAGGATTACTGCTTTCCAAATATAGCATTAGTTTAAAAATAAAAGGCCGTTTACAGTAATGGGACACTTGGTACTACTTGGAGCATGTGGGCTCTCCGAGGGGCTTGTACAACAGCTTCATTAAGCAGGACTGCAGGGGAGAGGCTGGCTTAAAAAAATCCCAGCATGCCTCCTCAAAGGCCCCCCAGATGGGCCACCTACCCTGACCCAAGGCCCGTGTCTAACAAGCTCTTAATTCCGCTTTCAGAACAGCTTTTTCATGCATTGTTTCTCCCAGAGATGAAAACATTTTGGAAGCTGACAAGTAATCAATTGGGCGCCACCCGGGAAGAGAGGCGACATTCTGGAACTCTGCGTTCTGGCCTCATGGGACAGAGAGTGTGGCTATCATCCATGCCAAAGGGGCCTTTTTGGATTTGGGGGGTCCCCTTTGTCCTGGGAGACCCTGGGGCAGCAATCTGCAGAGATTTGTCAGTTGGGAAGCTCACGGTCTGTGTGTACAGGCTTGGTGGATTTGATCTGGACCTGCAACTTCTTTGCTTGCTGGGATGGCTGAAGTTCACTGTTTGCGATTGGATGAACTACCTAGCTAGGGAGAGAGCAGTTGTGTCCACAGAGGGCTCTCTCTAGTGGTGGCCAGGGCCACTCCTGTGCTTCCATGGGCTCGCCAGGTTGAGCACCCACCGGAAGCCGCCCGCCTGCTGAGGGCTCCCGAAGAGACTCAAATTGCATATTTGCTATTTTGGTCCAACAATGCAGGCCCCTTCCGATTTTGGGAGTCAGCCTCCTGGCATTCACAAAGGCCCAGTTTTGAGCGAGTGTCCAGCTTGAAGGGAGGAACGGTCTCCCCGGTTTCAAATCCCTAACTGAATGCCAGTCATACCTTGTTGTCAGCAGGGAGGAGAAGATCAAGAGCCTCAGATAGAAAAGAATGGAGAGGTGACAACGGAGAGGGTAACTAGAGCTGAAATTTATCGCCTGGAGGCTCACATTCTCCCCAGAGGCAGGTGGCAGTGTGGACTGGCCAGGGGGTCTGTGTCCCCAGGCTGGCCTTTGCCCTCAGAGGGGCGCCTTGACTGGAGCCAAGTTGGTAGGAGGAGGGGAGGGTGTGGCTGTGTGGGTTTCTGGAAGTGGCGCATCCACTGGTCAGAACCTGGGCCTCTTATCTGGCTTAGGTGATGAATGTGTTAGATGTTCTGCTTCAAGCCAAGAACTGCTGTTCCCTTCACGTTCCCAGCCCTGCAAGGGTGCAGAGGGCATCAGCTCATGTGGACAGACAGGACAGTCTGTGGGCCACTGTCCTGTGAAAGACCAGGGGCAGTGGGGTGGAGAAGTCCTGGGCCCAGGGCCTTGGCGACAACTGTGACAATAGCTCACAGTGGAGCATGTCCTGCTATCCAAGTTCCAAATCAAGTGTCACGTGGCTTCTCTCGGTGCTCCCTGACCTTGATTGTCTTCTGTGATGAACTCGAGGAAAGGCAATTTGGGTATGTGGAGGTTGAGTTCCCTGACAAGACTCATGGCTATTGAGGAGGCCACAGTCTGGCCTGAGATCTTCCTGTGACTCGCCTCTCACTGCCTCGGGGTCCAGATCTGCCACATGGCTGAAAGCCCCTTGGAGGGGTGGAAGATGGGACTAATTACTTTAAAATAATGCTGGACTTGGAGGCCCTGTATTGTTCTGGGTTTACCCCGTCTCTTGGAGATGAAGGTCAACACCACAGAGATGGGACAGGGCATGGGGAGGTGCCGAGTCCTCAGACCCCAGCGCTTGGATGTCCCCAGGAGAAGTACAAGGTGGCCCCAGGCACAATTCCTGCCCTCCAGGGGCTCATGTGATCAAATGGTTCCAAGAGTGGGGTAACTGCAAAGGAATTTGATTTACTACTTGGAGGAGTTAAGACTCCCCTTAGAGTCTCAGTCAGCTGTGGATGAGGAAATACAGTCATGGAAAAGCAAACCAACATGTCCAAGGTTATTGTGGCAGTTCAGAGGTAGGGGTGGGGGTCAGGACTTAGAGGTCTCCTGGCCTTCTGATCATTTCCTGAGGAACATGATGGTCTGCCACATTCTTTACAAGAACTGGGACTTGGATGGCCCTGGAGAACCAAAAGCAGCTTGCAGAAGAGGAAGTGGCACGCACATGATGTGAGTGCTGGGGACACTGGAGGTGGGGCAGAAAGTAGATCACATCCCTTAGGCTGACTTTTCTGGAGGAGGAGAGAGTGCAGGTATGTGGGGCTGAAGAGGATTCTGAGAAGGAAAGACACCCAGGCTCAGTGAACAGTGAGTGTCAGGAGCATGGGGTGGGGGGTGGAGGAAGCTTGGTCCGCCCACATGCTTGTGGCCCCTCTTAGGAAGTGTGCTTAAAGGATGGTGACACATTAAGTCATCTGACTGACAGATCTCAACGAGGGATAAGGGGGAGGAGGACCCTGCTGTTTATCACTTTGTTTTTCACAGACATTTCCTACTCACTCAGACTTGCCTGCTGATACCCGTGGCTTTCTATCTCTGTTCCATGGGACCCATCACCTGCCAAAGTCTCAGTGACCACCCTGCGTGCCAAGGCAGCAGGTCTAGTTGTATCACCACAGGGTCAGTCTGGGGGCTGCATGGCTGCAGAGTTTCACGGCTCCTGTCTCTCACATCTCCAGTGGGCTCCAATGGCCACTTTTCCCCTGAGTCAGTGCCAGTCCAGACTGTCCTCCTGTGATGAGCGTGATTCTCGGGGACACACTACCACACTGGAATCAGGAGCTGCCCAGTCCGAGGAAGAGAGGTTCCAAGTGTCAGAGGTCATGCCTTTTGCCCTACGTGTCAGCTTTAAAATGTTCAGAATTCCCCAGAAACCAACTTGGCTAGGTGGTATGCGCAATTCTTCTGAGAAAGAGAAAAGGAGGAGGGTCCAGCAGGGCTGAGACTCAGGAAGCAAGGTGGTTTGGAGATGTGTGGATGTGGGTGGAGCACAGGTGGGGACAGGAATGCACAGAGGCCACTGGGGCTCAGGCAGGGGCAGGAGCCTTCTAGGTCTAATTCCACACGGCCTGATGCAGCGGAACCAGAGACAAACCAAGAGCGGGTAGCGGAATCCAACTTCTCCGGTGTGTCCCTTCACAGGTTTACTTGTTGTAGTGGCCCACCTCATGAGTGTAATCTGACACGCCAGTGTACAAGCTTGGGGGGGGTTGAACTTGCCCTACCTCAAGTGTACCCCTCCTCCACGAGGGAGCCAACCCCAGCCATCCCACCGCTCACTGGGCGGGCCTCTGATTGTCTTGAACACATCAAACAGCCTAAGTCTTCCTTGTAAAAGTTTTACAGGAAAATCACTGAAGACTAGCTGAGCTATCCTTTTTCTCTCCTCCTCCTTAAATTCCAAACCCGAGCCGATATTCTCGATTCCCACACTTCCGTGCCGGCTGGAGAGAGCGCCGGACCGTGGAGCATGGAGCGGCAGAAACCTCAGCCCCCGGATCATTAGACTTGCAGGCCACGGCTTGTGGGATCTAGTGATTTGGACATATTTTATTTAACCAGCTTAGTAAAAGGTAATATTCAGCAGCTGTGATCTATAGCGGAATTACAATTTTCAGGGTCAAGGAGGGATTTTGATATTAGGAGGCTGGGCAGAATTGCTATGAAATCTCATGAGCTGTCTTTAAAAATAAATGAGAAAATAGGTTATCCAAGAGTCATTGTAAGGGAAAAAATCAATAGGCAGTGTCTATTCACTTGGGCTATCAAAATCCTTGAAATTTGAACAAAAGTTTCACGTTTAGTGTACTGGAGGTTTTGAAATATCAGCGCTGGAGCTCGGTGGATACAAATTCACTGTGCTGCGCATCCAAACGAGGCGAAGCTTCTGAAGCCAGAGGGCTCCCTTGCTAAAAAGCGACTCTCGGACAGGACGGTTTCATCCATGCTGCTGTTGTGCAAGTGCCCGAGTCGCACCGAGGACCAAGGCACTGACATGCAGGGGTGCCCGTGGCCCCCGCCTTTTCCTTGCCCTGCCTCTTGTTCAGGAGAGGGTGGAGCCCACGTGTCTGCCTCCCATGCATTCCCAGGGCCCAACTTTGCATGTGGAACAAAGGATAATTCGGTGGGGAAACTTTTGTGAAATTTTGGCCCAACAGGTTGCCTGGAGTGACCAAAGTTGTCTCTCATTCATTCACACTAATCTATTGAGGGCCCACTGTATGCCATGCTCAATCTTGGCACAAAAATGTAGACATAAAACAGGCCCCCTGTAGCCCTCCACAAAACAGAGACCAGTGGGAAAGGTGGTTATTAAAAAATACGTGCAGAAATAAATACTCGAGTATGTGCGGTGGTAAGGAGAACAGCAGAATGAGCTGCTGAAGGTGGGGGAACCTGCCTGAGACTGGGGAGGTTCAGCGAAGGTGTCTCTGATGGTGTCTTCAACCTGGATGAGGGAGGACCTGATTTTCATATCATCACTCTGGCTCTTGTGAACAGAAAACCTACTAAGCATAAGAGGGGTGCTAGCTAGGGGGCTAAGGCAGTGGCCTAGGTAAGAAAGAAGCAGATTAGAGGTGTTGGGAGGGAGAAAAGTGTACCAGGCCTCTACTAGTGTTCCCAGAAGAGCACAGTTAAAAGCATTATTCCTTCTGTACTCTTTTTAATTGGCAATAGGTTGGGGACAGAGGACAGCATTTTTACTCACTTTTATGCATGGGTGGACCTTCCTTATTTGAACCTCTGATCTTCAAACTGCATAGCCACATCCTCTTCCCCATGCCCTGTACCTTCTCCCGTGGCAGCAGTGGATCATTCAGGGCCTCACAGTTGTCCTGGACTCCAGATTCCACACGGAGTCAAGGATTGTGTGCACACAATGAGCAAATGCTGTATCTTACACAGCTTGTTCTTCAAATTTCTGTGGTGATTATGAATTCACTTAAAAGCATTTTATCATCACAGTTATCATTCCTCATAGTCACCATTTAATCATCAATAGATTTTAGAAACTGCTTCAAGTGTGTCCTCAAATTCTCTTCAGGACCCCATGTTTGGCATTGAAGAGGCTCACATCAGCTCAGACAGCCAAGACCACCGTCCCTGTGTTCTGCGTTGGTTAACTGCCTGCCAGGTAATGGCGGGGCTCCCCCAGTGGCCTTGAGCTCTGGGAAAAGCAGAGATTATTTTGTGTTGTAATGTTGCCTTCCTGATTCTGTTGTCATGTCTGACAGAATTTAAAAAAGAGTTTTAAAACATTCTGAAAATGAATTTTCTTTTTTCTTTTGGTTTTTTGGACAAGACTTTGCTATGCAGTTCAAGCTGGCCTTGAACTCACTATGCAGCCCGGGCTGGCTTCGAATGCTCAGAGATCCTGCCTCAGCCTCCTCAGCGTAGAATGAATATCTTTAATGAAGAAAGAAATGGGTAATTTTCTTCTAATTTTCTTCTTTCATTCTGGAGGATTTTGAAGAAATCCTGAGAAATCTGTACAGAAAGAAACCTCCACCCCGAAACACTAACAACTCATCCCATCTAATCATACATCTAATCATGTGTGTGCAGGGACAGGGCAGCACATCCTAAGTGTGCTTTCCATGGGTTCCCCATTGAATCTTCACATCGGTCTTTGGGCTGCCAAGGAAACTGAGGCTCACTGAGTAGGTTAGATTATCCAAACTCATCAGGAGGGAAGCAGACCTCAAAGTCAATCTTCCATTACCCTATGATGCTGACCCTCTAGCCAGTGAAAGGAAAACAAACAAAACCCTGGATTAAAAAAACCACCTTGTAGGCAATCCTTCCAAGTCTCATTTTTTAAAAATGGCAGTGTCTATTCACAGGACAAAAAACGCTGAACTAAAAATCTGTAACTAGTCTTCAATTAGAAATAAAATGGAAGTAAAATAAATAATTCAAATGCCAAAGATGGCACCTATAGACTTTGCAATTAGGCATTTTATTTAACTCATCCAGTAATACAAGTTAGTTTAGGAAAGAACAAGGGAAATGTATTACTTGTGTTAACAACATAGAGAACCACATTTCCAAGACATCTAATGAAAATAAATGCTGAAATAAATTACTTTGTGGAACATAACAAATAAATAGAGTTTTACAAACAACATCTCTGTGAATATTAGAGAAAAATGTGAGCGTTGTGGAGAGAGAGGCACCATGGAGCTGGGAAACAATGGAGCTTGAGAATGAAGCCTGAGAGAGATTAAGAAGCATCAGCACATTAACGAAAATGAGTAACAGACATCTAACCCTCTCCCTCCACCCCCTTGGTTTTCAGAGTGATTTCTCCCCATCCCCGAGATAGGCTCTGAGCACCGCTCCTGCCACCCCAGCCTAAGTGATCCAGATAATGTAATCGCTGCATCATTAGGAACCATGAAATTGCAATTCCTCGGGGAAGGCGCGCTATCGCGCAGTTACACAGAGAAGAGCGATTAATTAGTGGATCTCAGTTTAACGGGGCTGTGTATTACACGGGTTCTAATCCCACTCTGCGGCAGCTCTCAGGCCTAATGAATTATCCTTAGGAAGCTGAGCTGGAGCCAGAAGATATCACTCCAAATGCAACACAGGAAATGAGATAAATATCCCAAAACTAAAGCGAGAGAGAGACCTTGAACTACTGGGGAAGAGCACGAGAAACCGAACAGGGACCCTCTGGATTTTCCTGATCCTGAAGTGACACTGCTGTGCCTGCAACTCCATCTGCAGACCCCGTTCTTGGCAACTTGACCCAAACCGACTCACTCATTTGCTAAACTCCGCAATGCCATGGTGCTTCTTGCAGAATGGCAGGGTGCTACTTTGGACCCATTAACCCTGGGCAACTGCACCCTCACATGTCAGAGAAAGCAGATTGAAGGCTTCACTTGAGACCCTCATGATGGTAGTTTAGGAAACGATTCCCAAACAAGGACACCTTCTACCAGAAGTGGGAGTGGAAGTAGGATTTTTACCATTCCCAAGAGGATGGCATCTCCCGACCCACCCTGGCCAGCTCCCACCCTCCCTGGTGCGGGCAACCAGGATGAAGCTCCAGCGTCCTAAAACTCAAGTGGCTAGAGGCAGAAATCAAGGCTGGGTCACTGCAAGGTCAACTCTTCAGCCAGCTAAGTCTTTCCACTTCACAGCTTGGTTGGATTCCAAACTATAGATCCCTGGCCTCTCTTCAATGTCCCCAGGGGCTTTTAGCCTGGGGCTTCAGTTCTAGGACATAACATCAGGGGGAATTCGAGGAACAGAGACTGCACAGTTAGATCTGTGTGTGTGTGTGTGTGTGTGTGTGTCCACTGAGATTTCCTGTTAAGGAAGAGAGGCTTCTGGTTCCAACATGGATGACTGGTACTACACACTGGTTTCGAACACTCTTTCCTGGATCTTAACCAAGTGCTGGTTCCTAACATGCCCAGAAGTAAGGCGGGCAGGGGGCAAGCACAAAGTTGACAGCCTGGCAGGATCAGGAATACATAATGGGCTCACGGCAAACTGAAAATAGAGGCTCCCTTCTGAAAAAACAAGAAAATAAGTTTTTCTTCCCCACGCCTTTCTGACTTGTCATAGTGATTTTAATGTGCTCGTTAATGTCATTCTAAGCCAAAATATTAAAGTGCTATCAGGGCTCTTATAATTCATCTTTACATTGTACAGTGCCTGTTTTGAATGGCAACATCAGAATATCGGACACAGACACAGCATTGCCAGAGATGCAAACTGTGTTTCACGGCTCATCTCTGGAGGGTGCCTGGGGCTGGCCAGAAGAGACATGCCAGACTCAGGGAGAGAGGGTCCCATCAAGGAAGGGGCTGGCAGATAAGGTGCTCCCTTAGGCACGAGGAGTCTCTGGGGAGTGCAGACTGTACAGACACGGGCACAGCGTGGGGCAGGTCCAAGCACTGCAGCCCAGCTGCTGGTTCTCTTATCTGCCAACCACTGGCCAAATATGCTGTACCCTGTGCCCAGGGCAGCAGGTCATTTGCTGGGCATCTCTCCCTTCCACAAGCTCCTCCCCCAATCCACAGTAGATGGCAACACCTGAAGACTCTGAGACACACCGGGTGCTTGGATGGGGGAGGCTGCAGCCTCAGGACACCGTTGGCCAGGGTGGGGACCGCTCCTACCATGTCCCACCCTAGGCTTCTACTCGTGCCTGCCAGATAGCCCCTCCACTCTGTCTGGGCATGTGCCCAGGTTGTGGGGCGCTTTCCTCATCCTGACACTGCTCTTCTCTCCAGGCTGTTCCTAGGTATGACTGTTCTTCAGCCACAACCCCCAGGAGCCTGGAGCCCCAGGGCTAAAGCAGCATCCCTTCAGCACCCACAGCTGAGCAGCTTCTGGTGTGGCCCACGGGCTCAGCGGCACAGTGGGGCCTCTGATCGCTTTACTTCTCACCAGTTTTTGGAGGAGAAGAGTAGCTAGTGATGATGGAGGATGGGAAAACACTGCAAGGAGCTGAAAACAGAAGGGCTTTCTCCGGGGACACCCAAGGAGTGCAGCTAAGGAGAGACCCAAGGCTTCTCCTGCCAGCTGCTTGGGAACACAGGGGAAAGGAGTTTCTGTCAGCTGGGATGGAGCAGTTTCTCTGGACACATGGGGAACTCTAGCTGTCCAGGAGGCTGGCCCTGTGGCGGCTCTTCTGAGCCTGAGGCAGAGCAGAGGCCTGGCCCAGCTGCTGGATGGAAGGAGGGGGCAGGGGGAGCCACAGTGACAAACCTTCCAGCCTGTGCTGCTGTCAGAAGATGCCTCTGTGATGAGGGAAGAGGTCACCCTGGAGGCTGAAGGCCTGAGCCCACGCCTGGCCTTGTCACCTGGGAGATCTTTAACAAGTCCCATGCCCTCTCAGAGCCTCAAGTCCCACCTGAACCTTGAGCAGGTTGGTCCACAGGGCCCCTCTAGCTTGCACAGTTCAAAACCCTGGAGAATCTGAGTTCTGCGGATACCTGACCCGTTGCCAAGGTGGCCAGCACTGAGCTCAAGGGTTGCTGACACACATTTCCTCATTTCAGAGCCAGCCAGGCCAGCTCTGTGGGCTTCGTCTCCCTCACACAGGAGTCGCCAGAGGCCGGCGTAGTCTCCCGGGCCCCTCCTGTGTCTGGAGCCACCATGTGCCCAGACATCAAAGTTTTTCCTCTGTCTGGAGGGCCGATCAGCCCCCACCCAGAACTGGGTTCTGCTTCTATTTCCCTTCCGCATGGGGACAGAGAGAAGAAGGGGAGAGAAGCCTTTGAAAACGTCTCTTGCTCCATTTCTTCCCTGCCTGCTGCTCATTGCTTAGCATTCACCGTGCTGGCTGAGCCCAACAACTCTCCTGTGGTGCACTGCTTAGCCACTCGGCAACTTTTTCCCCTTTTATGATATTTTGGGCTCCCGATTGCCCACCAAGTCCAACCTTTATCACTTAACAAGAGAGGAGGAGGAGGAAGAAGAATTCCCCCCAAGTCAGGCCTGGTCTAACCAGACTCTAGTCCAAGTCCTGCTGCTAGTCCTGGGCCAGTGTAGACAGGGACCTGTGCTCCTGCAGGGCTCTTTGCAAATACACCTGTGGGAACCACCAGGAGGAAGGACCACCCAGCCCCATGTCTACAGAAGGCTTTTCCAGAAACTCACGGCGATGGGATCCTGATCTTTATGCGAGCAGCAGAAGGCTGCAGAGTGGGGCTTTTCACTGAGAGACCCTGACTGTGATGCCAGTGACACGAGAAAGCAAGTCAGGACACCAGGGGTGAGAAAGCTTTCTGACCTCAGCCCTGGTGTGCTGAGATTCTCTCACTTTTCATCTGTTTTCTTTACTGTGTGTCTTCTGGGCCTGGAACATAGTAGATGCTCAGGAAATATTCATAGAACGGATGAATAAATCTGATTACACTTTTCCTCCTTCAAACACAGAAGGGTTTGATTATTTAGAAGCCTTGCTGGGGACAATAATGAGCTCACTGA